AGCTGTTTATTCAGCATAGTGAAGCCTCTCCTCCATTGACATCCATAAAAAAAAAAAAACGGCCTCTGGTCTCCTTTCCGTTAGCATTAGCCATTACGCTTTTATGCTCGGCTTCTAGTGGCTTTGATACAGTATACAGATGCACATTCGCTTTCTGACACGCACTCGAGTCTGTCGTCAATAAAACAAATGGAGTGAAAGAACGTTCGCTTTGACGCATTTGGTTTAAACAGCTCGTTCGCGTCTTTGGACAGATATCAGAAGGACCCCAGCGTAAGGAACAAGTGAGTCGTTTATTTTTAATGGCATCCCGGATCGTGTCAGAGGATTGTTTGGAGCATTTTGTTTTGTAAAGGAGGCACAGTGTCAGAGAGAGTTCACAAAGAAACATTTGTTGAAAGATGAAGCGGTACTAGATCTGACTGCAGCTGCAGCTGCATCACAAACCATAAGTAAATGATTTCATAATGCTTTGTCTGGGAATGACCGTTTTATTTTGACAATGTTGTCAAAACATGCAATAGCGAGGGGCCATTGATACCATACATATATCTATGGTTGATACTCTTTCCTATGGAAGCCCGTTTCCACCACTGAATAAAACATTTTAAAAGGTTATTGCGACTTTTCATCTCACAATTTTGACTTTTTCACAGAATTGCGTGATAAACTCACAATTCTGATTTTTTTTCTCAGAATTGTGTGATATAAACGCACAATTCTGATTTTTTTTCTCAGAATTGTGTGATATAAACGCACAATTCTGACTTTTTTTCTCAGAATTGCATGATTTAAACGCACACAGATTCAGTGACGTTAGAGACTAGAGCTGATCTACGCCTCACTGCACACATCTGTCGCGCGTTACGGCTCCGCGGCCGCTCTAGTCAGTGCTTGTGTTTATGAGCCAGCCGTGGCACGTTTCTGACGCGGCTCTCCGCGCTGCTTGGCTAAAAATAGTCTTTTGTGAGGTGTCACAGTGTGGTCCTCGTCGTCGAGCCGTAAGGGATAACGGTAACATAATAGCTATGCTGATCGTGGGCCGCTTTTAAATGAACATTTATTTATAAAACAAAATAACTTCTTTGGCCATATTAACCTACTCAATAGCATCAACACAGGCTTTACTCCTTTCAGACGTTATCTGGAATGTCACCGTTTCTGTCACTGCAACTTCCCGATCAGGCGAACACACACACACACAAATTTCGTCTGTCTCGTGAAAAAAAATGTATTTTAAAAAAAATGTAGTTAATATTTGCATTTATTATTTATTTTATCCACCCCGCGACCCACCCGCAAATAATCAGAACGCATTTTTTATTACCCGACCCGTGGATATAAGAAAAGCAAAATATGTTTGCAGCGTAAATCAGACGGACTTACTGAAAAAGCAAATTAATTCTCTGCCAGCAGGAGGTGCTTTAAAGCGGGAGAAACAGCGGTTTCCCCGGTAACGGCTGTACACAAAGCAGCGCTGAGCTCACAAACGCTGCTTTATCAGGCATATAACATGCAAGATGAAATGAAAATGACATAGAAAATTTTCTAAAGATAGTCTTCCTTCAGAAATACAGTGATATAAAAACACCCG